AGCACAGGGCACGACAGCCTTGCTGTAGAGGCTCCCAACACGCTCAAGACAGTGTTAGCAAAGACCCTGCTCTTCCAGCCTTATGGAACATGGATTTTCCCTTCCCCTAGAGGCACCACACCAGCTGGATGGGATGCTCAGCTTCCCCTACGCCCCCCTCCCCTACAGCCTGCAATCCTGACTGCTCTGGTACCATCAAAGCCCTAACGTCCTGCACACCTAAGACCCCTTTTTAGGATCACCACATACCTGCTCGGTAGAATTTTAACCTCCACGGAGAAGGTTAAAAATCCAGGGAAACTGCAGACTTTGTGGCTGTAAGTGACATCTAGTGGAAATGGCAGGGAAAATGAGTCCACAGGTAAAATACTGATCCCGTTGGATTCAGGGGTGAAACCGAGTCCTGTGAGTTGGAACTTCAGCCCAGCAGCTTCTTTTCAGGACTTGTAAAAAAAAACCACAGTAGAATAGCTCTCTGTGCATGAGTATGGCTTGCAGAGAGAGCTTGTCTCTCACACCAGTGAGCAATGTGGAAAGCGAGGTGGCTGTGACATGACAGCTGTCCCCTGGCCTTACAGCTGCTGTCCCCAAGCCAGGAGCACCACAGCCACCCAGACCATGCACTGGCCTGCTGCCACCGTGCTGCACTTTGGGTTAAAACAGGGTGCTGGAGTAACTTTGCACTGGTGGGTGTTGTGTTGATTTAGGTCTTGCCTGTGCTCTGGCAGTGAAGAACTGCTGCCAAGGGAGCAGCTACAGTCATGGAATCATGGTTTGGGTTGGAAGGGACCTTAAAGCTCATCCAGTTCCAACCCCCTGCCATGGGCAGGGACACCTTCCACTGGACCAGGTTTCTCCAAGCCCCGGCCAGCCTGTCCTTGGACACTTCCAGGGATCCAGGGGCAGCCAGCCACAGCTTCTCTGGGCGACTTCTCTGCAGCCCTGTGGCTGCAGCTTTTCCTGACAGGTTCTGGGCACAGCTCTAGGGCAAGGAACAGTGTCCCACAGCCCCTGCAGAGAGGCACAGCTGGGGAGTTCGTTGCTGAGCCTGTCCCCCAGGGATGGTGCATCCAGGATCACGGATACTGAACCCATCCACGTGCCCCTGAGGCAGCTGCCTGCCCTGTTTACCCTGCTTTCCTGCCATTGGAACCACCACTCTTGCCCCCAGGGCTGCCACCCCTGCCCTGGCTGGAAGGGTCCCGCCAGCACAGCGTGGATGTGGCCCGGAGCTATTCTTGTGTAGAGCAAAGCCAAAGCTTGCAGGGAAATCTGAAACCCAGTGAGACTTGGATTAGCAACCCGAAACTCTGGCCAGGATACGAGCTTTTGGAAGAGCTTGGCAGAGTTTCAGGCAGAGTGCAGGCTGAGTTTCAAGTCAGCAGAGGCTGACCTTTGCGTGAGCCTGCTGCTGGCGGCTCGGGAAGCATGGGCTTGAATTTTAAGAGAGCCTGGGGAGCGAGTTTCAGGCAAAAAAAAAATCCACCAAAATAGTTAAAGGGTTTAGGCAAAAACAATGCAGAGAGTCTTATGGTTTGGGGGTGATAATTCCTGCTCACCTGCCCCCAAACCAGCAAAACCAGCCTGGTGGTTACAGCTTCCTTGCACTTCGAGTTTCAGCGCAGAGTTAACCCCTTCCTCAGCGTGGAGGAGCTGCTCCTCCCAGGTTTTCCCTGGGGTAGATCTGGATTCCGTGTCTGCTCCCTCCCTGTCTCGGGGGAGGTCTCGTGGCAGTGAGGGTGCAAGGTCAGAGCTGTACCTGAGCAGCTCAGAATTCCCTAATCCGAGGACTGAGCTATCCATGTGGCAGTTTGTACCTCACAGGAATTTATGGAAGGGAACAAATGCATCAGATGAGGGGAGGATCACAAGATGGAACGGCTGGTGCTCTGAGAGCAGAGGACCAGAGTCCAGAGCCCAGCCAGAGACAGGCAGACAAGGCCAGGCACTATCAGTGACCGAGGCTGAAGGATAATCCAGCCAAAAAGGAAGAAGACATGAGAAAATAACCACAAACACAGTCTGTCCTGGGCAGTTGGAAGCAGCAAGGGCCAACGTTGTCTTGCTCCTGAAGCTGTGGAGACACTTCGTTTTCCATTATGCTTTTATTTTTTTTCCATTGCTTTTCCTGCAAACTCATCTCTCTTCTTCCCCTCACACACAGCATGTGATGGGTGTAGATCAGGGCAGGGAGGACATCTTCGTAATCAAACCCACATTTCTTTGCACTGTCTGTGTTGTCTCACAGTGAATTCAGCCAAACCCCTATACTCGTGATGTTTTAGTGCTGGTTTTAAGAGCTGCATGAAGGTGGAATTTTCCCAAATGGAGTTTCCTGGATAGGAAATTGGTTATCTCAGAGTATTATTCCATAAAGCTCTGAAAGCTCCTTTCCCAGAAGTCAAAATCCCTTTACACTTGGAGTAACAAATGTGGAGCTTGAAGCCACAGAACGGGTCTTTATCCCAAAGGAAGCGCCCTCCATGGCACTCCTGGTTTTCCTCCCTAGCCCCCTTTTCCATGCCCTTGACCCTGGCTCTTTCTCCCATGCTGTGTCCTCTGACACGAGGCACAGAGAGGGGCCTCATCTGCTGCTTTATTTCAGGCCCATCTCTAATTACACACTGACAGTTATTTATATAATGTCCTTAATACCACAGCGTCAACCCTGGAGGTGCTGGGACGAGGTGCTGGGAGGCTCTGCCCTCCTGGCTCTGCCCACGGCAGGTGCCATCCACCAGCTGGTGCTGGAGCAGCCCCGTGGCAATCCCAGCATCTGGCATCACCCCCTCGGGAGAGCCAGAGCCAGGTATCCCAGAGAGGCACGACGTGCCAGAAGGAAATCGGAGCCGGGCTGTCCGGGCTGCCACTGCTGGATGTCCTTGGCAGGCAGCACCGTGCCCCTCGGGGCAGGGTGCCATGCCCTTGAAGGCCACGCTGGGCTTTTATCCCCCCGGGAGGAAGGCAGGGAAGCGGCGGCAGATGTGTCATTTCCCCAAGGACGACGCGCGCGGGCTTCACCCTGGACAGCAAAATAAATAGCGGGATGTCTCCTGCGCTGAGACTTGTTTGTGTCTGGGGGGCCGGGGTGGGCCGTGTGGCGGGGTGTGTGCAGTTCCTGTGGGGTTTGGAGCGTGGCTGCCCCGGCGCTGGGTTTGCAATGTGCCGCTGATAACGCGGGGCCGCCAGCCCGCTGCTGGCTCCCGGTTCCGTCTCGCTGCCTCTGCCCCTTTCATGTTCTCTGCTGCGGTTTGCAAGGCTGAGTTTAAAGGTTTCTCTGACTAACCCTGGCTGCCGGGCTCAAAGGGAAGGAAGTCGACTGCAGCCAAGAAAAGGAAGCCAGTTGGTTTCCCTTCTGCGTCTGCGAGCTGTGTGAGGGGGAGAAGGGTGTAGCCAGATCAGACGTGAGATAGGATGGGAAGGCAGCAGACCTCTTTCCTTCCATATTTTCTCGGCTGGACAAGCTCCCTGCATGCGTCAGCCTGGAGCAGGGAGAAGGGAAGCGTGTCCTGGTCAATATTTACCCCTTGATTCCAGCTGCTGGTGGGCTGGACCCTCCTGGCTCGCTGCCCTGCTGTGCAGTGTGAGGCGGCAGCCACGACGGGGAGCTTCCATCCCGCGGGATGGCCGGGGCTGGCAGGGCTGGCAGGACAGGGCAGGAGGTTCCCTCCTCCCAGCCGGAGCCAGCTGCTGGCCCCGGCTCCCTGGAATGTGTGTCCTGGCATGGCCAGCACTCCAGCCCGGCTGAGGACCCCTGAGGTGGATGCAGAGCATGTGGGTCCCTCTTGGTTCCCACAGCATTCCAGGACCCCTGAGGGGAGTTCAGAGCATGTGGGTCCCTTTTAGATCCCCACAGGACCCCCGAGGCAGATGCAGAGCATGTGGGACCCTCTTGACTCCCACAAGCATCTGCAAGACTCCTGAGGTGGATGCAGAGCATGTGGGTCTCTCTCAGCACCCAGAGCAACTACAAGACCCCTGAAGTGGTTGCAGAGCATGTGGGTCCCTCTTGGCTCCTGTAGCATCTGCAGGACCCCCAAAGTGGATGCAGAGCATGTGGGTCTTTCGTGGCTCTTCCACAACATCCATTGGACCCCCCAAGGTGGGTGCAGAGCGTGTGGGTCCCTCTTGGCTTCCGTAGCATCTGCAGGACCCCCAAAGTGTAGGCAGAGCACGTGGGTCCCTCTCAGCTCCCACAGCATCTACACCAGTGGCCATCTCCAGTTGTGGGGGCTGCACCACCCTGGTGGCAGAAGAAGTGACCAGAGCCTCGGGGCAGTGCTGGCCCCCCTGGGCTGGGGCTCACACTCACAGCCACTGTCCTGCAGCAGCTACTTCAGGGCAGCTATTTCTGGCCCCTGGGACAGGGAGGGCATGTGGTGGGAGGCAGCTCCGGGGCTCATGGGAGCCGAGGGCTATTTCTGGCTCTGGTTGCTGACCTGCCAGGCCACCCTCGGCCAGTAACTCCCTCGTGCCAGGCTCACCCAGAGCCTCCAGCCCCAGGCTCCCTCCAGCACGTGGACCAGGTGTCCCTGGGAGGTGTGGGACGGCTGCCACACGCACCCTGCAAGGTTTGTCACAAGACCAGGACGCTGGCTGTGATCTTTTGATGTCACTCTGCGGTAGGCTGGCAGTAAGTGCCCTGGGAGTGCTCTCAGAGGGTGAACCATGCCCTGGGGCGTGCTTTTGTCACCGTGGAAATGACGACTGAGGCAAAGGGTGGGTGTGTGTGGGAAAAAGGACAGTCGTTGCCATCCAGGTGTCCCACTCCCTCATGTGATGAAAGGTGCGAGCTCTGTGGCCTTTGCCCCCTCTCCGTTGGCCATCCCACGGAGCGATCCCAGGCTGAGGGCAGAAGGGAGCAGTGGGCATCAGGAGTGGCCCCAGGGACCCCAAACGTGGCTGTGGGACAGACACACATTGGCTGATGCCCTGACATGTCCCCCACCAGCTTCTATATATGGGCCTGCCCTCTCTGAACCCACCGCACTCGGCTCTCAAGTGACACGCTGGGGAGGGAGGGGGGGTCTATTTTTAGCCCCTGAATGGATCTGTGCTGGAGCCGAGCTCTCTGCCCCCGTCAAGGGTACGGCATCATGTTGTGCTGGGAGGATTTTCCTGCGTGGCTCTTTGAATGGCTCCATCCCCACCTTAGGTCGGGGTACAGGTAGGATTCAGCTTTGTGGTCTCTCTGCTGCTTCTGCTGCTGGATCCCCACTGTTTTGGGCTCTGTTGCAAGTCCCTTCCCGGGGCCACAGCTATGGAAGGAGCTGCCATGGCTTGCTGGAATGTCCTGTTTGACATATCCTGTTTGAAGTGTGCTTCGTGCTCCCCTCCTGCATGATGCTGTGGCAGCAGGAACAGAAATCCCACAGTTTTTAATGTGGGTTGTAGGCAAGAGGAGTAGGAAAGGGGCGTGTGAGGTGTGATGCTGCTGTGCTGCTGTGGAGAGAATCCCAAACCTTCTGTGCAGCTGTGGAGAGAATCCCAACCCCTCTGTGCTGCCGTGCTCGGGGAGCAGAGGCAGCAGGGACCAGAGGGGGGTAGCAGTGGTCTCTCTCACTGCTGGCTGGGTTATGGTCCAGCACAGCCATCCCCATCCTGCTGAGTCTGCCAGGAGCTGGAATTTCAGCTGGAAAGATGGGAGGATGAGTGAGGATGAGCGAATGCAGATGGCAGGGAAGGAACCCGTGGGGACAGGATTAGGGGCACACACCTCACACCTGCCAACACTAGTGCCACCTCCTCATGCCCCCATCTCCCCCCCTCCCCCACTTTGCTTTCCCGCTGCAGGCATGGATAACTTTGAGTACAGCATCCAGCTGAACGACAGGGAATGGGCTGAGTTCTTCTTGGCCTCAGAGGAGTGCAACCTCACCCCGGCCTCGCTGGCCACGGCCGAGGAGCAGTGCCTCAGTGACATTGAGCAAGGGGACGGCCACGCCAGCCCCCACAGGCTGATCCCAGCCGGGGAGGGCAGCGAGCCAGCGCCTGGCACAGGGAGCTCTGCCCCACGTGGGGTGCCCGGAGACACCCCCCTGCGCTGCCAGGCCGGTGGGCACCTCTCCCCGCCGGAGCTGCTGTCGGGCAGCGAGGACGAAGCGGAGCTGGGCTCGGTCGGCAGGTTCCTGTGTGAGAGCGACCAGCCCGGCTGCCCGTCCGGCCCTGCCATGCCCAGCGCACAGAGGAGGCAGCCCCCTCGCCCCCCTGCAGCCCCCCTCGCCGGGCAGGTTGGTGGCACAGCCCAGGGCAGCCCAGGGCAGGACGCAGCGGGCGAAGCGACAGCGTCGGAGAAAGGAGCGGCCGGAGGCAGCCGGGACATGGAGACCCCCAACACTCCAAGTGCTCCTGAGCAGGGAGGGGACTCAGGAGGGGGACAACCCCATGGCAGCGAGGTGGTGGCACAACCGGGGACGCCGGTGGGAGGTAGTTCACCAGCACCCCCTGCCAGGAAAAGGCATCCCAGCGCTTCCCACTCGGAGCCCAGGCTGCGGGGACCCTCGTGTGACCCCCCCAGCCCATCCCCGGGGGCTGCACAGGAGGAGGTGAGCGGGGAGAGGACGGGGGCCGAGCAGAGCTCCCCGGCCGGGTCCCCCAGCGTGGTGAGGCCCAAGGTGCTGGGGCAGCAGAAGAAGAGCCGCAAGCAGCGCGGGGCCAACGCTGCCGAGGGGGACAGGGAGCCTGGGGGGGCTGCAGCTCAGGGGGCTCCACAGGGACCCGGGAAGGCACCTCCGGGCTCGCCAATGTCCTCTCGGAAGAGCAAAGGGAAGGAGAAGGCGGCCAAGGCGGCTTTGGGGAGGATGAGCAGTGAGGAGGCGGCGGAGAGCAAGCCACCAGTGCCCGGCCCTGGCGTGGATGAGGGGGATCCAGCCGGGAGTGCTCCCCCGAGGCAGAAGGGGAAGGAGCCAGGGGCACAGTCCCCGGGGAAGACAAAGGCCACCAAGCCCTCAAAGGCAGGGCAGGCTGGTGGCTTGGGCGTACGTGACGGTGCACCAGTGATCCCTGACAACGGAGCCCTGGCTCCTTCGGGAGAGGCATGCCAGGAGATGCCAGGGAAGCCTCTCCAACCCAAAAGCGTGGCAGCTTTCGGAGGGGATGCTGCTGAGGGAGCCTGGAAGGATCCTGCAGCTGAGATCCCTAGAGTCCCTGCAGCTGAGATCCCTGTGGTTCCTGCAGCTGAGATCCCTGGGGTTCCTGCAGTTAAGGTCACTGGAGTCCCTGCAGCTGAGATCCCTACAGTTCCTGCAGCTGAGATCCCCAGCAAGACTGCAGCTGAGATCCCCAGGAAGCCCTCAGAGATCCCCACAGTTCCTTCAATTGAAATCCCTTGGGAGCCTGCCCCTGAGACTCCGAGGAAGCCTTCAGCTGGGATCCCCAGGTCTCCTCCTATTGACATCCCTAGGAAGACTGCAGCTGGGATCCCCAGGGTTGCTACTCCTGAGATCCCTTGGGGACCTGCCCCTGAGATCCCCAGGAAGCTGAGCCCCCCGTGCTTTGCAGATGGAGCTTCTGCAAGGTCAAACACCCTGGACGTGACCTGGCCTGAGATGTATGACTATTTTTTCTGTGATTCCCAAGAGGAAGAAGAACTGGGGAGCTCAGTGGAGGGGCGGAGATCACCCTTGCAAAGGGAAATATCCTGGCCTGAACTGTACGAGTATTTTTTCAATGAACCAGAAGGAAACAGGAAAAAAGTCAAAGGTAAAGACAGGAAAAGAAAGAAGTTCAGCAGCTTGGACCACACTGGGCTGCAAAATGAGGATCCCAGCTCAGCTGCAGTCAAGGACACTGTGATTATCTCAGTCCCCGAGGTGTGTGAACACTTCTTCCCAGAGACACCTAGGAACAGGATGGGCTGGAGAGGCATTTTCTCAATCGCTCCAGCCTCCGAGGTGAAGAGAGCTGTGGGGGCTCTGAAGTCCCTCCTGCAAAGGCAAATCCACCCCGATGGCAGCCAAGCCCCAGCCTCCCAGGCTCTGGTGCCAAGAGGATCCGCAGAGAAGTTCGCCCTCGTCCCACTGGCTCCCCTGGGAAGAGGCCAGGTGTGGCCAGAGGGTGAGGAGATGGCCCTTGTACTGAGAGGTAAAGCATGTTATCCCCTGTAGGGATGTGTCCCACGCTGTGTCATGCTGGCTTTCCCTTGGGATGCTCCCACTGTCCCCGTGCCAAGCGAGTGCTGCTGGCCAGGTCCTGCAGGCTGGCTCCCAGCACTGCAGCAGGCATGGACAGGGAATCTGGGACTTTAAAAAACACCCTCTTAATTTGAAAAACACCCTCCAGAGACCCTCCAGAGGTCACCTGAACATTGGCTGTTCCTGGAGGCAGGTGAGAGAAACGGGAATAAAGGGAGAGAAGTTTGACCCACGAGGACAGCCAGTGTATTTGTCTTAAAGCTTATATGATGCTTGGAGCCACAGGGCCTCGTAGTTAATATTAAACCCAAACAATGAGTGAGTCATTCCAAAGGGTGCCTCAAAATAGAGCTTCCAGTTGGTTTGCACGGAGAAAAGCCCCTTTGCCGTGGTCACAGATAATTAGGAAGTCAGTTTTAATTAAAAGCCTGATCAAATAAACACGGGAGCAAAAATAACCTACTCTTACAGCATGAAGTTCCAGGCTGAAAATCTGTCAGGGGAGGAAATTTAGAGCACTCAGGGATGTCCCCATCCCTGGACTTAGCAGGAGGTGGGAGTGGGGTGGGATCAGTGAGGTGCTGAGCACTGGTGTTCCTCAGGGGAGTAGACGTTGTCCTAGAGCAGTGTGTGCCTTTGGGCACTGTCTGGCAGGAAGGGGGCCTTGCCCAGAGGTCCCCAGGAATCACTTTCTCCTAAATCTACTCCCCAGACCCACTCCCAGCCACCACACTGCTCTAGGAAGATACACAGGGAGGTTTGAGGCAGCCAGAGGTCCTGGGGTGGCATTAACAAACATTTGCCTCAGGGTCTTAAGAAAGTCTAAAGCTGAGAGGGGTGAAAAATGCACCACTCACCTTAGGAAACATAACTGAGTCCTAAATAGACACGTTTGACTTGACAAATGGTGGAAAAAAAAGTCTCCAGGGAGGGAAAATGTGTGACGACGACGTGACTCCCTGGGAGCGCGAGGGACTCGTGTCCCGGGGGGACACACGGGGGCTGTGGCATAAAACCCCAAACCTCGTGCTCCTCTTCTGGCAGGGACAGCAGAGGATCCACGAGTGCTGACCCACAAAGACATGTGCCTGGTGTTCTGTGCCTTTGCATCCTGGGCAGTGAAGACATCTGACCTGCAGGCTCCGGATGCCTGGAAGACCAGTACGTACAGTGCCCGGCCCGGCGGGAGAGGGGCGGGAATGACTTCGTGGAAGACTTGGCAGGGAGAAAAGCAGGGGATACAAATACACCTACTGCTGCCTGTGGGAAAGTGCAGACACTTCCCTGCTTTTCCAAAGAAGTGTCCTTTTAATGCCTTGCCTCTCTCGTGGAGTGGCAGCCCTGATTCCTGCTCACTCACATCGTCCTTTCCCCGCACCAAGTGGCTGCTGACAGGAGCTGAGCTGTAGGACAAGTCTATCCCTAGCCTTGGCCCTGCTGCTGACAGGGACCAGGAGCAGTTTGTCAGGAGAAGAGAGGCTTCTTTAGGATCTGTGCTGGCTAGCAGCGGGATCAGGACCTGGAGTGTGCAGGTTTAGGCTCCCTCATCTCAGCTGGAACAAGTGCATGTGTTTTTTCAAATGTGCTATGAATATATAACCTTCTTTCCAAATACAGCTTAGCTGAAGTATTATCCTGGTGCACTGAGTCCTGCAGGTAAATGGAGCTCTGTTGGATCCTCTCCTCTCCATCCACAACGTTGGGATAGGTGGTGGGAAGAGAGGAAGCTCGGGAATCACGAATTTGCTGAGCCCCCCCCCAGGAGTGCAGGTGGCTGGATGAGCAGGGAATGGGGCAGTGGGAGCAGCATTCCTCATTCCTACCCTGGACAGAGCAGCTGAGTGCAGGGTCCAGCCCTGGAGAGCCCCTTCCATGGGGTGAGATGCTGGGAATGAGGCTTCCTGCTGCTTGTCCAGGGGGAGGAATGTTCCCCACTAAGGTCACACAGGAGGCTGACACCCTGGGCTGAGAATAGCTCATTAGCTAAGGCTGCTCAGTGCCATCATCACAAGGAGCTTTTGGCCTGCTCCTCCTTGTCTTCTGGGTATGGGATGGTGGACGTGGCCTTGGGGAGGTGAGAAAAGTGGGATATGGGTCCTCGTGCCCTCAGGATCACATAACCCTGGTGAGGACAGGAGATGGGAGGCAGTTCCACCTAGTCCTGGACTAGCCATTCTCTTTAGGCATCCTAGGTTTCAGCTGAATTTCCCTGTTTCTGTCCCTATAACACATAAATCAAAATCAAGTCTGAATTTAAACTGGGAACTCCAAAGGCATGGCTTGGATTCCCAGTTTTGCTTGGGAATTTAACCTCTCTTATAAACCAAGCTAAAAACATTGGCTGACAGTACAGAGAAAAGCTTGATTCTGTGTATAATCCCCACTAGTTATTTGTTGTATCTCTACATTTTTTGTTTTGGGTATTTTCTGCTTTTGGCTGGGATCAGAAAATCCACAGATAATCCACAAAATCATATTTTTCTGGCATCTTCATGGTCCAAACAAGAGTAGAAAAGGAAGGGACTGTCCTGAAGCCCTGGTGAGATTTTCTACTGTGTCTTCCTCATCCAGGATTAAACCTGTGTATCCAACCAGTCCACTAATCTCCACCTGAACCTGTGTATCCAACCAGTGCACATGCCTACCCCACACAGGGAGCCTATTTAGTGTTTCCCTGAAAAAAAAAGCCTTTTGCTGTGGAATGGTGGTGTGATCCATGTGCCCAAACTACAGCACTAGATGTGGGCAGCCAGGCTGTGGGTGTCTGGGAATGCACTGGGAATAAATTCAGTGTGGAGGGGATGAAAAACAAAGGCAGGAGGAGACTGGGGAAGGGAGGGGAGTGACCCCTCTATTGCCCACAGAACAGGGTGGGCCAAGCAGCTTGTGGTCTGCAGGTCTGGAAAAAAGATCTTTGGGTTTGGAAGAAGCACCCAGACTAACTGTGGGAATGTGTTGGGCTCTTTTCCAGTGTTCCTGGCAAGTTTTGGCACGCTCTCTGCCATCCGCTACTTCCGGAGGCAGGTCAGAGAAGGACAACCCCGGACTTAGGCTCAGCCCACACTGGAGGTGCTTCCTGGGGACAGGTGGGCACGGTGGAGGCAGAGACTGGGGACTTTGTTCTTGGACAGTGTGAGAAGCCTGGATCCCAGCACCAAGACTTCTCTGGACCCATCCCTACACGGGACAGGACGTCACAGGAAGCAGGATCGTTCCGGTGACAGGAGTTGATGGCACGGTAGGCAGGCGGTACCTGTACTGGAGAAAAGGGGAGCCCAGCCTGGGCTGGCTCTGGTCTTTCCTTGCACTCTCCTGGGACATTCCCTAGGAGCAGCCAGTGTCTGTTCCAGGGCACTGCTTATCCCTCCTCCCCGCTGAAGTCACCTGGTGGCAAAGGAAGGCACTGACGTGGTGGTGGAGGGAGGTGAGGGCAAAAGAAACCAGGAAAGTGCTTCATTCGTATGAAAGAGCTGGGATATCTGTGAAGGAAGAGTGGAGAGAGCTTTGGGAAGAGCTGTCTGTCCAAACGTGGGGCTTGGCTAAGCATGTGCTGGCTGGGCAGCAGCTAAAGGGGGATGGAGGGGCCGCTCTCCTGGCAGAGCCCAGGGCTCCCATGATTGGTTTGGCTCACTGCAGGAGGACTCATCCTCTTGGATTGCACTCCTAGAAGTCACAGTTCAGTGTAACAGTTCAGGAGGCTGAGATAAGGTTTCTGGTGCATGTAGCCACCTCAGCCCTGCTGAGCCAGAGCCACGTCTGTCCCCGTGGATGAGGAGCACCCGCTGCAAGGGCACATCCCAAACCCGCAGGCAGAGGATGGACAAGGGGTCACACAGCCAGAGCCAGGGGAAGGGGCAGCCAGGAAGGGTTCTGCAGGAGATGCAAAGGATGGAAAGGGGTAGCAGAGAAAGGGGCTGAGCTCAGGGAAGTCTCAGGAAAGAGCCCTGACGAGGACAGGAGCATGTCAGAGAGGAGGAAGAAGTACGTGTACGTGTTTGGCTCGGCCCAAACCACACAAAGGGTCTGGACATATGACTTGTTCCCTCTTCTGCCTCCCACCCTAGAGGGGTAAAATTGGTTGGGGGAGATTGGGAGTGAGGGGGTGCTGTGGCTGAGTCTGTAACCTGGGGGCCTTGGGAAGGGCTCGAGGGGGCCCAGAATGGAAGGTGGGGTGAAAAATAAAAAGGAAGCAATTCAATTCCTCCCCTGTCTCCAGTGCTTTCCTCATCACTCAAGGGCATTATTCATGAGGGTTTTTCTTGACTCCCAAGTCTGTTAACAGCATGAATGTGAGATTAAGCACTCGGGGACCAGATCCACAAAGGTACGAAGGGAAATCAGCCCAGAATACCAGTGTGGATCTGCCTGTGAGCTTTATAGGAATGGTGTGGTGATGTTTGTCTCATGAAACCAGAGAGGGGAGGTTTAGCTCTTTCCTTGTAATGCAGAGTGCCATGCAATTTTAATGTGTGTAGGGATGGACTGAAGACCATGTATTGTTGCTGATAAGAGAGCACACTGTGCAATTGTGCAGTGAGATATGTAACTGTAAGTAGTGAGAGAGATGTACAGGCTCTATATGGACTATAGCAGCTGTATATCCAGTAAGAGGAGTTTTGTGGAGGAGAAGAACAGATAAAACATGCTGGAAGCTTCTAATAAAGTTCTATTTCATTTACTACTTTTGTGTACATTCCTCTGTCTGCATGGTGGGTGTGGGAAACCATTGAATGAGTACTGAGCTTTAAAGAATGAGAAATCAATGCATTATGTGTCTGTTGATACAAAACTGCAGGAGCTGATGGGCTGGTTTTTGGAGCCCTGGAGGACAGAGCATGCAGGGAGATGGGCTGTGTCTCCTCTGTTTGGCTCAGTCCCCATGCCTGCCCCTCCGAGACACATCTTGGCTGTCACATGTTGCTAACAGCCTGTTCCAGAGAACCCTCCTGCCTCAGAAGCTCTCAGCTTCTCTTCAGATGGCTCCTCAGGGCCCTCTGAACAGATCAGTGAGCACAAGTCAGTGCCCAGCAGCAGCTCCTGCCTTCGGTCCATCGACCCTCATCACCTCCGTGCTCCCTGATCCCGCTCTCCAGCCCGGGCTGCATCCAGGAACACCTGGCACTGCCTCCTCAGAAATGCCCAGCAGACCTGCTCCCTGCACCAAGTAGGAGCACAGGGGGGGCTGAAGCATTCCATATGCTCTGGTTTACTGTTTATCCAGCCATAATCCATGAGGCTCTCTCTGCCTTCTCCGTGGCAGGTGGGAACAGCAGCCGGGGGAAGGCGGGTGGGAGACGGGGAACAGCTGGAGGAATCAGGCACTTCCATTGTGCTGGGCTTTCCTGGGAAGCTGTCACAGCAGGGAAGGGCAGAGGAGGAGGGCAGCAGACAGGGAAGGGGTCTCTGGCACTGCCATCTCAGGACCCTGACAGGCCTCAGGGGCTCCGGCTCTTCCTGGCAGTTCTCACGCAGGGGGAGTTCCCCAGGGTGAGGGCAGAGCTCAGTCCTGCTTGCTCGGTTTGAATTTTTCAGATTTTGTGTTTTTCTAGCCTTGCCACAGAGATCTGGAGGAAAGAATGTTTTCCCTTCCCCTGTGCAGGTGCAGGAACAGCTCATTTCCCTCCTGGCCATGTACAGTACTGCCAGGTGCAATGCTGGCAGATAATAAAGGATTGTGTCAAAAATCACTGAATTTAATACTTGGCTGAGTGGTTTGTGTCTGTCTCAGTGATTGCAAAGTTGGCTTGGAGGTCTCACTGGAACTGGGAGGGTTTCTGGCCAGAAACCATAATGTTGAAGACATTTTTGATGCCATTAGCTGCTCCAGGAGGGGCTCTGTGCTGGCATGTGGGGAGTCTGCCCGTTCCCATATCAGTTGGATCTTTCCTAAGGGATGCCCTGGCTTTGGGGACCTCCTGTTCCCAATGCCCCAATCCAGAGATGAGCCATACACAGCCAAACATGGCACTTGGGGTGGGAAAAGTAACTCCTGGCTGTCCCTGACCTGCACAAGCAGGGAAAGGCGTAGTGGCATCAACTCCATGTTTTCCCACTCCAAAGGATATGGGGTATATCCCATCCTCTTAATGCCTCTGTCCCAGTGCTGTTTCTTCCCAGGAGAGTGGAGCACTCCTGTTGTGCTGCAGGTAACATGAGGTTCCTGCCACCCTTTGCCTGTCTGTGATAATTGGTGTCTGATCCTTTACAGCCTGGACTGGGAGATGTCAGTATGATTTGGCACCTCTGCCTGCTAAAAGTTACCAGAGGTGCCAGATGATCCAGCAGGTTACAGGTGCATTTCACACTCCTTTTGATCTGTGCTGGAAGAAGTGGATGAGATAAATATTTCAGGAGATGGATGTTTTCGGCTGACTGCAGAAGTGAAAGGAATTACTGAAAAGATCTTGCTGGTATCAGGAGATCGGCTCTGGGAGAGTGTGCTGTGCTCAGTCAAGCAGCAGTGTCCCTCAAGGAAACCAGCCCGGGCTTGCCTGCAATTTTAATGCTTGGTTTATTCTCCGACCTTTTAAACCCTCTCCTCTCCCTCCACGGCGAGGCCGATGTGCTTGTATCTCACCCTGGAGGGAGCAGCCAGGACCTCACCATCTTTTTTTTTTTTGCAAAAGCAGCAGCCACGGCCACAGCAGCGACCTTTCGGTGCATCCTCGGGGCCGCTCTCCCTGCTCCGGACAGGGCGTCGGAGCCGGAGGTGGGACCTGTGCCATCCCCTGCCCGCCGCTCTGCCTCGCACGTAGCTCCCTCATCTGACACCTCGCCTTGCCAAGCGCATGAAAAAGTCAGGCAGGTGCACCCCGAGGGACCGACTCCGTGTTTCATCCGGATACACCGTGTGCCGGAGCCCCGCTGGAGGCAGGAGAAGCCTCTCCCCCCCTCTTCCCGGCGATCGCTTTTGTCAGAGCGGCTCCTTCCCTCCTTATTTCTTTCGCTTCGTCTCTCTGTGATAAAACCCGGGCGAAGCTTCCCACGGACATTCCCGTGGCCGTTTCCGAGCCGTGACTGGCTTCTCGGTGGAGTTCAGAGGGATTTTGGGGGGCTTGGTGCTGTACCAGAGCCGGGGGGGAGTGGGGAGCAGTGACCCCCCTCTTATCTCGGACTGACAGAAGCTCCAGTTGCTCGGGTCGCTTGGCCAGCCCTGCGAGCCTGACATATTCTGGTGGATTCTCCCACCCACAGGGCAGTGAGGGAGTTGCTCGTCGCAGACCAGAGCAGATCCTGCACATCCTCCTGGTGTCCTGGGAGCGGGTTTGCCCAGCGGGTCCTTCTTCCCAAACCTCAGCCGTCCATACAAACTGCTCCCCAAGGAATTCCCCAAACCCCGAGTGCCTTTGTAAAGACAACAAAAAGATGGGCAACGGGGCTCACTTGCTACACCTTGTGTTCATTACAGAGGCTTTTCTCCCAGTTCCTGAAGCCAAAGGAGCAGGTTGCAAGTTCTACTTTATTTTTATTTTTTTTTTATGCACCTCTTTGTTGTTTATTCTTTGAGGAAAAAAAGGGTTGAAATTCTGTCTTGGAATTAAGAAAGCAGAGAGAAATCCAGCAGCCCACAGTGTGTCAATCACTGCTCTGGCTTTCCAGCTATGGAAAAAAGTGTGTGTGGGGGACACCTGATTCAGGACTTTTAACACTTGGAGGGAGTGAGGGGGGTGGAGAGATCATTTGTCAGAGAGTGAATTGTTGGCAGCCAGTGTCTTCTCATGCCTTTCATCTGCCTCTGTGAATAAAGGCACAGCTATCCTGTGACCAGAAGGATGTGCACAGCCTTGCTGGCAGCTCTGGAGCACTGGACCTGCCTTTTGTGGATGACCTGGTCCCCATTGAATTCCTGCTGCAGCCAGGATGAAGGATGAATACATTTTTTTCAGGAAATAAGAGGTGTTTTGTGCACTTTCAGGTACTAATTTCCAATTCAATGCAACCTGCACAGAGACATCTAGTGCTGCTCTGAGGAAACCCTCTATTTTTAAATCCTGAGTCTTCTGAGAAAGGTGTTGGAGGAAAAGCAGGAGAGTGGGGGTTTTGGGGTTTTCACAATCACAAACATCCTGTTCCTACCTGCTATGGATCCACCCAGCTAGGAAACCATCAGGGAAAAACCAATGGCCAGCAAAACCAGTGACTCAACAGGGAAAACAGGCTGTGCAGAGGGACTTGGGTTTGGTCTTGACCAATTTGATGCTCGTGGGGGCTGGTTTGGGAATATATTAGGGCTGGGCCACACACATTAATTGATCTGCATTATTATAGCAGCCTAGAAAAGCTGTGCAACCCTCTGAAGTCAGGACAGATAGGGGCTGTGGGACACTGTCCCTTGCCCCAGAGCTGTGCCCAGAACCTGTCAGGAAAAGCTGCAGCCACAGGGCTGCAGAGAAGTCGCCCAGAGAAGCTGTGGATGCCCCTGGATCCCTGGAAGTGTCCAAGGCCAGGTTGGATGGGGCTTGGAACAACCTGGTCCAGTGGAAGGTGTCCCTGCCCATGGCAGGGTGTTGAAAACAGGTGGTTTTGGGGGTCCCTTCCAACCCAAACCATTCAGTGATCCTGTGATTCCATGACTGATTTTACAGAGCACCTTTCCAGGACGTGGTGCTGAAGCAAAGTTCGATGAGCTTTGGCTTTAAACCTCCGGCCAGGTCTGGCTGCCTGACAAACACTGGGGAGACTTTGCTCAAGGATTAGGTGTTTGCAGGTGCCTGACCCGAACTAGAGACAGCCAGCAGTCTGGAACCCTCCTGGATATAGGGCCCCAGGGCAGGAATGATTTGGAAGGGTCAGCAGCGATGGGGGAAAAAAATTACCTCCATTAAACCAAAGAAAGAGAGAAGGAAATTATTCCATGGGAATGTGTATTGCAGTTGTCCAACCTCACAGAAACCCCAAGGGAACTTTAATATCAGCTGGAAGGGGATCTTCCCTTTTGATACATTGCAGATATTGCTGTTGAAACTCAGTTTAAAAGACTGTGGTGACCATGTTTGAAGTCAACCTGTTTGTAGGAGCTCAAGAGCATGGAGACCTCCCAGCATATATGTGCTTTTGATGTTCCCTAGTGCAGTTCTGTTCTGAATAAATAGATAAATTTAGGGTTATTGGATATAAATCTTCCCAAAACAGAGCAAACCCAAAACAGAACAATGACAGCTACAAGACCCAAACCAACACACTCATGAATGTGCAGACAGATGCCCATTCTACAGTACTGAACCTCATCCACAGCTAGAAAATTAAATAGGTCTTTAACTCAGCCACATTTACACCTTACATACATAGAATCCACTCAAACTTTACATGTAAACTTCTTTGGATACCCAAAAAAAAAAAATTAAAATACAATGTAATATGCAGGTATTCAAGTACAAAGAGCTCCCCAGATTGTTTTGTTTGCACTAGTGAAAGAACAAAAATAGAGGTTTTGTTCCTGTGTTTGGTTTGCAGCCTCTTTAGGGAACAAAGGTTAAGAATTTGGAGCCTCAGGTAAAAACATTCGGATTTGCTGCTGACCTTCTATGTGCCAAAGGATCTGGCCTAAGAGGCTGGAGAATAATAGCACTGAGACTCTGTCCCCTGTTGTTTGTGTCCTGGTCCTGCTGTGGGTCTGGAGGGGGGAAGAGGGGGATCACAGCCCACACTGGCATTGCTTTGATCGACTGGAGTTTGGCTTGT